AAATGAAGATCGTGTTTGCTTTAGTGTTGCGATAAAATGATGATCGTGTTTGCTTCAGTGTTGCGATGAAGTGATGATCGTGTTTATTTTAGTGTTGCGAATTGAATATCGCGACTGTTTTTCTTAATTTTGAATATTGATTTTTTTAAAGAATAGAAGTAAAGTTTGTCCTTTTTATTTTTTTAATTTAAAGTTTATTTTAGTGTTGCGAATTGAATATCGCGACTGTTTTTCTTAATTTTGAATATTGACTTTTTTAAAGAGTAGAAGCGAAGTTTGTCTCCCTTTTTTATTTAAATTTAAAGTTGAATAATAAGTTAGAATTTTTGAAATTTTAGTGTTGCAGTTTGTGATTATTGGAATATTTAATGTTAGCGTTGCGTCAATGAATAACCGCGTTTTTCGATTAGTGTTGCGAATACAAAATGCCCAAAATTTTTCCACTGATATTGTGGAAATACGTACCTGTTCTTGGATTACCTAATGCAATTAAACAAATTGCACGAAGGCAATGGTACGTTAGCAGCCTTCAGTATGGCTGCACTGGATTTTCCTGCGATAGTGTTGCGTAATATTTAAATAAGAGTGCAGAAAATTAGTATTTATTAATGATGCGTAAATAATTAAGCACTAGTCTAGTTGCTTTCGGGAGTTTATTTTTTTTTTTTCATTTTCCTTTTATCAGTGATAAATTAATTTAAATATGTCAAAGCACTCTCCGCGATTATTTTTACATTTTTTAATTTTCTAAATAAAATCAGAAAAAGTATAGTATATTTAATTTCAGAATTTCAAATAAAAAAAAGAAAAGAGCAATCCAGTTTATTTTTTAAATGAGTTGAAAAATGCAAGATTTGTGTATTTATCAGAAAAAATCAATAAGGACAAATCTTGTGTCCTAAAAAAGAAGAAGAGAATTTTAAATGGTAATATTTCAAAGATGAAGTTATAGAATGAAGAACAAAACTGAATTTATACTACGTTAATATTTCAACAGTAATAACTTTGTAAGGAAAAATCGTACAATAACATTTGTGTGATCAATATAAAGGACAAAGCCTGTACTTTCACATCTTCAGATTTAATTCATATTTGAATATTTTTACAGTATAGAACAAAGACACATTTTTAGTTGGAAAATGGGAAAATTTCAAACATAGGTAGGTCTACTAAAAAATTTTCTTCGGGGTTATAATTATCACAAATTGAACCACTGAAGTATTCAATTTGAAGAATCTCTATAAAATTTAATGGGCCATTTTTTATTTTCATTTGATTACATTTTGAACGAAGAGTATACTATTAATATGCTAGTATCTGTAAATGATAATATAAATACAGTTCTATTTATACACAACATAATTCATAATGAATAAACACTAGAAAAATGCTAATTGATTTTTGCAATTATAACAAATATGATCAAAATTTGATGGAATAGTCCAGTTTATTCCAAGTGAAATAATTTAGTAATGAAAAATCGCACATTATTTTCTATGGGATTTCTGAAAACTTGAAATTTTTGAAGACTCCGGTGATTCGATTTATGGTGATTTTGATCCTAGAAAAAATTTAAGGAAACTACCAGCGTCTGAATTTTTACAATTTTCTAAATGAAAAATTGTCTTTGTCTTCTACGATAAAAATTTCTAAGTAGAAATTAAATTTGGGGTTGTGAAAGTACAGACTTTGCCTTTCATATTGGTCTTATAAATGTTATTGTTTGGTTTCTGTACACAATGTTATTGATGTTCAAATATTAACATAGTATAGATTCAGTTTTGCTCTTCATTCTATAATGTATGGTATTTTTCCTTATAGTCACAGAAATTTCTATGTTAAGTGGATATTTGTATTTCTGTGACTATATTTGTTATTGTAATTTTCTTTTCAGCCTTCTTTTTCAGCTTTCTTTTTCAGCTTTCTTTTTCAGCTTTCTTTTTCAGCTTTCTTTTTCAGCCTTCTTTTTCAGCCTTTTATAATAAGAGTGTTCATTTTCAAAAGTACTGTTCACAAATTCAGTTGCTAGTCAATTTCTTGTTTCAATTCTGTTGTTAAATATTCTTGTTTTATATTTTGTTGATGTCTCTGATCTATAAAATAAAAGGAAATACCCTTCAAATTTTTAACTCTTACGGTCTTAAAATTTGAAGAGTTATTGTTTATATATTATTTATATCTCAATATTAAATGGAATTTTTTATGGAATTATTTTCTGTGTGTATATATTTTATATAATTTTTCATGTGATTATATTTTTTCTAATTGTTTTCTTGTGTGGATATTTTTAATGCAATTTGTCATGACTATTTTTTATGAAATTGTTTTGTTGTGTGGATATTCCTTTTGCAATTGTTTATATGATTATTTTTTATGAAATTGTTTCTTTGTATGGACATTTTTGGGGAGAATTTTTATATGAATTTTTTTCATGAAAATGTTTTTTATGTGGATATTTTTTATGTCACTTTGACATATTTATTCCTTGTGATAGTGTTCTTGTGAAATTTGTGGTTCAGTTGTTTTTTGTGTTGTTACATTTTAAAGAACTGGTTGTGTGAGTATATTTTATGAAATTTTTCTTCTTTTTTCGTCCAATTGTGTATGAACTTTTATATTTTATGCAATTTATTAACATGTTTTCTTCTTTTTTAGTGTTACTTCGGTAGATTTTTCAGACGGTAGACATTTCCGTAGAGAGTGTAGAAGTTGGAATTAGTATAGTATAAAGTATCATGATGGTTAGCATTGAGTAATTAACACTGCAGTGTTAAGTGTATTAATAAGAATATTAGTATTTAAGTAGAATATCTTAGTAATGAAATGGGTTTAATTGTTAATAACTATTATTATATTTAAGAATAAATAGCATTTAAGCGAATAAGATACAAATAACTCTTCATGAGACGTATCTAACATTTTCTTTTTATTATAACTTGTAATTGTCAACTTTTTTTAAATAATGAGAAAGAAAATTTCGACCAGTTTATATTAACAAAACTCATTTCGTATTAATCATTTTCTATGATTCAAACATCGGTAAATATTTAAAATTTCGTCTCATATAGAGTTATTTTATTTGTTATTAAATTTTATTTACAGGTTTAGTCTTCCGCGTCGGATTTGTTAAGCTCCTTTTATTGTTTGTCTCCAATAACGGTTCAAGATCGAACGTTTTGAAGACACGCATCAGAAGGAACATTTATTTGAATATTATTAAATTTTTGCACGAAAGGTGGGTGGATGGGACCGTGGTTAGGGCGGGTCTCCATTCGCAGTAACCTCCTCGCGGTGAGACCTGGGGAATCGTTATTACTTGATATACAGTTCCTAATTGTATTACTATAGTTGCACCATATTTGTGATACAATTGCAAATTGTATGATAAATATATGTAGTCGCATCATATAGTCTAATACAATTATGAATCATATAACAAGTAATACGAGCTAATTGGCTGCGATCTTGTTGTTGTCTTCACGTTGTTAGAGTAGGAAGGTGAATAAGTTTTGTAGAAGCATAGGATTCGATACTTTGTTTGTAATCGTAAAATATATCGTATACCTCGTCATTTCATGGTTACATTTAGTTTTGATTCCAATTACTGTTGATATAATTTTATTCTATACCGAGTCGGTAATATTGAAAGTCATTCTGAGATGATACAGCATCTTTCGAGTTACCGACACTTGGTACATCAGATGCAGTGTCCTGCATTTTCTCTCTGGAGATAAATCTTTCTGGATAGGTAATCTTCTTTACCAACATTCAGTTTAGTTTGCATTTGTAGTTACCGACATTTGGTATACAAGGTGTATCGCACTACGTCTCTCTGTGGAGATAAGTGATTTTATGGGTAATCGATCTTCTTTACCAACATTCAGTTTAATTTGCATTTGTAGTTATCGACTTTTGCTCTGACCAGGTGCGTTGCACTGTGTCTCATCTGTGGAGATAAGTGATTTTATGGGTAATCGATCTTCTTTACCAACATTCAGTTTAATTTGCATTCGTAGTTATCGACATTTGCTCTAACAAGGTGCGTTGCACTACGTCTCATCTATGGAGATAAGTGATTTTTATGGGTAGGCGATCATCTTTACCAACATTCAGTTCAACTTGCATTTGTAGTTACCGACATTTGCTATAACAATGTATATCGCACTTCGTCTCGTCTTCGGAGATATTTCTTTTCATAGGTACGCAATCTTCTTTACCAATATTTACTTTAATTTGCACATGTGGTTATCGACTTTTGATATAAGAAGATGCATTGAACTGCGTCTCGTTTTTGAGATAAGCCTTCGTATAGATACGCACTCTCCTTTACCAACGTACATCTTAGTTTGCATGCGTAGTTACTAAGTTTTGGAATATTAATGTGCATTGAACTGCGTTTCATCTTCGGAATTTTTGTGGGGTAGGAAATCTTCTTTACCATATCTGGTATGTATTAATTTATATACCGAAAAGGAAGCTTCTTTACCAACATACACTTTAATTCGCATGTGTAGTTACCGACTGTAGTGATATCAAGAAGCATTGAATTGCGTCTTATCTTCGGAGTCTTTATAGGGTAGGAAATCTTCTTTACCATATCTGGTGTGTATTAATTTATATACCGAAAGAGAAGCTTTCTTACCAACATACAGTCTCATTTATGTTTTTAGCCAGAGAAGATTTCGTACTTAAAAAAAACTGGTATTTCAAAACTGTTTCATATAAATAATTTTATTCATTGCTTCACCATTCCCTTGCACCTTCAGGTCCATTAAAAAAATTTTGAAATACTTTCTAAATCTCTTCTTAAACTTGGTTTCGAATGAAAATCATTATTAGTGACTGTTATATGTGACTATTATAGTGACATGTACTCTTATAATGTTCATTATTTATATCTACTTTATCGTTTGAGTGAGATCGAGTGTAAACAATTTTGAACAAACATTACACTTGAGCATTGACAGAATTTCGCTCGTATAATGAAAAATTGTTGCTGCTCACTTTGCAGTATAGTAATTCGTTTTTATAAAGGGCATTTTCGTAATTGTCGCTTTATAAGTTTTTCCTCGAACTTCGACCAATACTCCACCACCGTATTGTGCCAAATCCTGTGGCACGTATCCCATAGCTATAGAGCGACCGAGGGTTGGACTAGGCCCACCGGAAGTGATTTTTCCAACACGTTCACCTTCCGGAGTCAATATACATGCTCCCTCTCTAGCTGGCGGGCCGTGCACAACCGTCAACCCTACTCGTTTCTTCTTGGCACCTGATTTGATCTGCGAGAGTATCCTTTGCGCACCTGGGAAATTTGCTTCCGCTCTTCTTCTTTTGGCTGCGATAGCAACGAAGAAAAATTTGTATTTCCGCAATTAACTAAATTAACCCTTTGCACTCGACGATTTTTTCGTTACAGAAAAATAGCAATTCGAAGACTTTCTGTCACAGACTCGACGAAATTCTTAAAATGGTAAATCGAAAATCATATGCAAATTAGGACATAGAATTATTTTTCTTCGACAACAGACACGACGATATTCTTAAAATGGTAAATCGAAAATCATATGCAAATTAGGACATAGAATTATTTTTCTTCGACACTCCACGCATCGTTAGGTAATTTTAAATTTGATATATTAATTAACCTCGATCTTTCGAATCTGATTAAATGGTGCACTCTCGAGTGCAAAGGGTCAGTACTCTCTCATACTCTCTTACACACCTACTAGCCAAGTAAGTCCAGCTTCTACCGGTGTAACGTTTTCGTCGATATCTTGTCCATAGAGGCAAAGGCCAGCTTCTAACCTGCGAATAATCGAATGGAATATCAGTTCCGAATATTTTATTCAACGCTTGAATGGTACCTTAGACTGTCCCTGGCTCCTAGACCAGCTAATTTCGTGTCGTACGTATTCAAGATACTTTGCACCAAACTGCGCGCAATTTTGGCAGGCATCGAAATCTCGAAACCATCCTCCCCTGTGTATCCGCAACGCGTTATCCTAATTGGACTCCCTAATACTTCAGTTTCCACACTGTTCATAAATCTCAGGTATCTCAAGTCTATCTTCACAATCGACTGAAGAACCGACGCTGCAGTAGGCCCTTGTAACGCCACGAGACACTGTTCTAACGGATCTAGAAATTCTAGGTTCACCGGTTTTCCTTGCTCTTTGAACCATTCCTGAAACGAAGGGCGAGAAAGAGGTAACAATTACCTCTTTAACCCTTTGACTACGGCAGACTTCGAAACGCAGCGGTCGTACCACACGGGTAGGAATTCATTTACAATGTCCGCCGAGAATGGCAAAATTTTGGATAAAGATGCGCCCTCCGTGTCAGAAAAGCAAAATTCCTGAGCGCGTATATGCGTCCACAGTAGCCAAGGGGTTGAAGAGAAATCGATGTTTTGCTATTTACCTGTTGTCGAAGGAGCAGTTGGGTGTCTTCGTTCCTTCTGCCGGCATTGGAGACCACGAAATATTTATCGTCGCTGTCTTTCGTGACGATCAAGTCGTCTAGAATGCCTCCATTCTCGTTGGTGAATACCGTGAGGACAGCGCTACCCTTGGTCAAATTTCTCAGGTCACTGGTTGTCAACGATTCCAAGAATTCGGTCGCGTGTTTGCCAAAAATTTGCGTTTGCATCATATGACCGACATCGAAGAGGGACGCGAAGGTCCTGGTGTGTTGATGGGACGCGGCTATTGCCTCCTGGTACTGTACCGGTAGCAACCATCCGGAGAAGTTGGTTATCTTGCCTGAACAAAGGACAGGTTTTAGACGTAGAACGAGTCCTAGTCGTTTGGTATTCCGGATGCATTGCGTGGGAAGTAAAGAGACGAAACGAATGCAGAAGTCTTAGGTTACCGCTTACCTCGATTTTCCACGTGAAGGTCGTACAAGCAGGTTTTCCATGGCTGTGGCGTCGGCGCCGTTGTTGCCGACGTCGACGTCGACGTCGAACGGCGGCCTTCACTGCCGTTTGACCGCGTTTCGGAATCGATCAAACATCTTAAACGCGACTTTGGTATCGTATGTTTCGCGTTCGTCTTATAAATCGTCGACAAGTTGCACGACTCGCGGAAACCGCTTAACGGCTCGAAATATTTATCCACGTTCTCCAAATGCACGGATCTTCCGCGAACACCGAAGCGAAGCATCGTCTTTTCTGCGAACCGATTCGTTGTATACTAACGCTAGAATGCCGGCTGGAAGCACCGGCAGTAGTCCCTCCATTGATGACCCCGCTGACACCAGGCATCTTTCACAGCCGGATTTAGCGTCGAAAATCGGCTACCACTTTTATGACGTAAATGCGATTTTTCCGTTTGGTACGAGATGAGATTGAAAGAATAGCCTTTGTTATTTTCCAGCGTTTTATCTGCGCGCGCGCGATTCCAGATGTAATACGTGTCCGTGTAAGGTGAGTGAGTGTGTCAGTGTCAGATTTCGGAAAGATAGGAATATCTAAATCGTTTCGAACGAGACAATTTCGGGGATGGAATTTCCAAACAAACGTAGCGTTTCGATACGGAAATTCATTAACCAGGACATTTTCGCCATTTTCTTTTTTTTTTTTTTTATTACTAATCTCTTACGATGTTTTGTTTTGTTGTTTCTGTTTTTTTCTCTTTCTTTGGAAAGTACCATCGACGTCGTCTGTTCGCGGTCTCGTGATCTCGCGATACGTATTTTTGGGACCGATCCGTTTATCGATGTGTTCCAGATTCGTGCAGAGAGATGTTACACTAGTGAGTATCTCGGATATGGTGCGTGTCGCAATGGAGAAACGATAAAGAAAGGCCTCGCGATAAATTGATATTTTCTCGTACGATACAACCCGAGAATAGTAGATACGGTTATTTTCGCGCGTAAGAGAGGTCAGCACGCTGTTAAAGTCGGAAGAGATAAGACAATTAAAAAAAGGCACGTCGTATATTTTGTACGTGCTTTGTGGGGGAGAGATATGATTGGTAGTCACGAGACTCGTGTACATCGGATGCTTATTAAATTTTTATTGTATTACGTAATAATAATAATAATAATAATAATAATAATAATAATAATCGTAATAATAATAATAATAATAATAATAATCGTAATAATAATAATAATAAT